CAGTGACAGTTCAGTGCTGCCCTCTTTCTCCTCTGCAGTGATACTTGCTGGAACAAAAGGACTTCTATCTGGAGAAGTTTACAATCGCATGGAAAGATATTTGGCCTCCAAAGTTCATTGGACTTCCGCAAAGCCTTCAAGGTATCCCTGCATGAACTGCTGTGGACTGACGGCAGCAGCCTTGACGTACGCACACAGGAAACCCAGTCATGCCAGCTGAGGGGTTGTGTCTTTTGGTTACTGATCAGGTGGAGTTTGAGAACAACAGAGCATAAAACTTAGATCAAGTTAAAGGTCTACAGAACATTTCTTGGCAAGGTAAACTCCATAACCACCTACCGTTGATTATTAGCCCTAAAACTAAGAAAGTCTGAACATTTTGCGTGCATATCACCATTAGTGTCCCCTAGGCTGAGGATTTTGAGTCTCCTCCTGAGCCTGGGGTTCAGTGCTCCTTCTTTGAGTAGCCAGTCAAAGATTTTACCCACCTGCAGCTCATAAAAGGATTTTGTGTCTTCTCCACATATTTTAAAATATGGTCCAAGCAGATTTTGCCAGGGTCAGGCTGTCAGCGAGAGCATTTCATTTAACCTCTGAATTTTCTTCTTCATCATCACTTTTGTTACATCTTTACCACTTTACACTTTCAAATGAGAATTCTGAGCTTTAGGCATTTGGCTGTGTAATTACCATCATCTTTACATTTCCATCTTTTCTTCTTTTAGGTTTATCACACAGTCAAGAGTAATTGTGATTGCTGTATACATAGTTTTGACCACAGAGTAGAAGCTGACTGAAAAAAAAAAGTATGATTAATGCTGGTAAGATACTGCTATAGAATCACTAGGGTAAGAGATTTCACACCAGGGTCTGCTACAGTAGTAAAAAGGGTCAGAAAATAATGTAGTTAATCCAAATAAGTGTATTATAAGGTGCGATTAGAGAACAGATTTGGTGTTTATGATTAATTGCCCTTAGGTGTGACACTGTCCCTCGGAAAATATCTGGAGAGTTGCAGACTTGTCCTATGATGGGATCACAAGGAAAGGACCACATTGTATTTCATTCCTGAAACCATGGAGGGATGCACGCCACATATATTGTCGCTGCTCTCTGCTTTTCTCAATGGCTTTAAATGAAAGAAATTGGGTTTCTTAAAGAACAGGCCCCTGCCCTGTCTTGCTGGTTCCTCCTTGTCCTCCCCTTCACAGGATCCAGCCAGAAGAGGTTCCCCCCATGCAGTTCCCTCAGCCCATGGTGGAGGGCAGAAGACGACAGGTTCTTCAGTCAATCAAAGTCAACTCATTCACCGGAGAGAAGAACCTGTCCTTCTCCATGCAGGATGGCTTCCTGCAGGGCGAGAGAGCTGTGCTGGCCCGGGAGTGCCCACTCCACCACAGAGAGAGACCCACACAAAGTGAGAAACAGGAGCAGCTGCTCGGTGGTCAGCCTGGGAAAGGATGTCAAGCCCCACTTGTGCCTCTGGGGAGGAGGACTTGTCCCTGAGGCCAGGGACAGTCCCCGTGGAGCCCAGGCTACCACAGACATGTTGGGGGCTGACTGTAGCCAGGACCCCCTCAACCCTAGTGGGTACTGCACCATGTCCAGACTCAACCCCACAGAGGGGAGACCAGCAGCTCCACCCTTGCTGTTGTCCTGATTTACATCCCCAGTATCCTTCCACTGACATTTCTTTTCTTTACTGCTACCCCCTCTCATATTCTTTCCTAATGTCTTCATCATCCTGCAAGATGAAAGACATTTTCATCTAAAGAAAGTATGAAGAGTATGCCCATATTTTTCCACAAATGTGTATGTGTGTATACTCCAGTAAAATATATGAATTTTAGAATAAGAAAATTTCCTTTCTAATCAAGTATTTAAAAAATTATGAATTAGTTATATGTTAGTTGGCTTAATTTTGTATAGCTTCTTTTAACTTTTGAAAAAATAGTACATTAATAATACAGTGTAGTAGACAAAAAGATGAACGTGTCATGAGAAACGTTTTTAACAGAAGCAATGCAATCTAAATGCAAGATCCATTGCCCCCTGCATTTATAATTGCCAATTTGCAAAGCACATCTTGTTTAGCAGCCTACATTGTGAAAGGACTGATTTCGTAGAGATTTATCAGCCGTAACAAACCCCGTGGGATGTGCCAGACCTAAACCTTGTGGTACCTGGGAGGAGAAGTTTCCGTTGGAGCAAAGGAAAGGGGTCTGTCGGACAAGCAGGTGATTGCAACTACCGCAGAGCAGCTCCAATGCATCTGTGCAAGTCCACGGGGTGGCAATATAGACAACCCCTCCGTGGAATGGCTGTCACGTTGGAGATAGTGTCACTGATACCGCAGATCCTTTGGAAAAGGCGCTGTGCCTTCCAAGATCATTAGCCATGCAATTACACCGATACAGAAATTTGAGCTAGATGCTATACCAGCATATTTGCTTCTGCAAATATTTAACACCTGATAGATAACCAACAACCACTAGAACCTGGCATTACTGAAGTAAAATAAAATTCTCTGGAAGAACATTTTGGATTTATTCAGTAGAAAGCAATTTGGAATGTATTTTTGGATCCTGATAGAAACTGCTTGTATATAAAGCTTAGTGGAGAAAAATTTTCAGATCATCCTAACACAAATGTGATTTTATATCCTACCTATTTGTCCTTATATAATTTAATTCCCAAAGGAAGCTACATTCATTCCTTCCATGTCAGCTTGCACTATGCTTAAAGAGAAATGTACTATTTTAGGTTGAATAAATTCTACACAGAATCTTGTCAAAGATTTCTGATTACATGGAGTCATTAGATCGTAGCTGTAAGACGTTGTGTAGGCAGCATGTAATCATGGTCTGACTCAGTTACTGAAAGGGGTCCTACATATGACTTTGCAAAGATTTAGAGCTAAAACCTACAAGTCAGGGAATGTAGAAATATTTTGGGGAGGGTGTTGGGTTTTCCTATTTGTATTCTGTCTGCTCATTATTACTGCCTCATATTCCCCATAGCACAAATACTAGGATTATCTTCCTGTGATTTAGGAGGACAAGAATAACCCAGATGAGTTTTGAGCTCCTGGACTGAACAGTTTCTTGGTATTGACCAATAGTTCAGTGTCTTTCTGCGAAATTGGAAGTTGAAGAACTGCAATTTTGAGGTTCTCTATTGCTGCTTATAAGTGAAAATTGATTTTTCTAGACAAAGGAAGTACAGTAAATGTAGTCTTTTTGGACATCAGTAGACCAGTTGCCATTTGGCTACGACTGGATGTATTAGCTGAGCTAAATAAGACATGAACAAAGAACCAGGTAAAGACCTCATGATGATGGTAAGCTGTGCTGAAAGCAGAAATGGTGGTCGAAGGGGCGGTTACTGGTGCCGTTCCCCAAGGATCAGTTGAGAAACAGTCTTTTGTCATTCTTCCACTAATGGCTAAGGACAGAAACTGGTAGTAAGTTAGTGCTACTCGTGATACAATCTCAGAAGTATTGTGAATGCTGAAAAAAGTATCATTCAGGAATAACTGAGTATCTCAATGTACTGGAGTAGCAGAAACTGAGTGAAATTTAAAATATGATTTTGGCAACTTAGAAAAAGTTCTGATGCAAGCTGGAAAATCCTTAGGTGACACTGCCAAAGGAGAAGAAAGGCGTTAATCAGGAGTTAGCTCATCCACAGAGCTGACAGGGTCATGAAAAAGGCAAGTGCTATCACTAGGTAGGCTGATAGAGAAATTTCAGGTCAAGTTAGGGAAATAGTAATACCTGATTACAAGGCACAGGGAAAATCCATCTGGGCTACTGCATACTGTCCATGTCAAGGATGAAGATTATTTTTGAAGTTTTCTATTCAGGAGATAATGAACAGATACCTTGGAGCATAAAAGGACTGAAATTTTAGACCAACCTTTTAAAAACAGGGAGTACAAAAAAATCAAATTTAAATCAACATGATACGGTTGAAAGGGATGATGTGATGTGTTCACCTTCTGTGGCAGGGGCTGGACTTACAAGATCCCTTCTAATTCTTTATTTTGACCACCCTGCGTCATTGTACGCAATGAGCCTGTGGTAGGCAATACTCCAGGGCTTATCTGACAAAATTCTTTCTTACGACATACACTCTGTTAGATTTTATACAAAGTTTTGAGTGGCAAGTACTTACCTTTTGATAACACTGAAGTATAAACATAGCAGTCTTGTGATGATTGTACTCAAAGAATGAGGATGTGAGTAGTATCTGTGGTATTTGTTCACCCATGTCTCTTTTTTTATTTTTGACCAGTGCAACACAGGGTCGTTGGAAAGGTGAAGGGACCTTTGGTTTCAAGCCCATTTACAAGAAAGATGTTATGTTCTTCAGACCTTGTTCTGTAACGATTAGAGGCGTTAGGGTAAGCAGATTAAGCTTATGATTTTAAAGGTCAGATTTTATAATCCCTTTCATTCTCCATCCTTTTTGTCAGAGCATTTAGTAGAGTTGTCAGAGCATTTACTGAGAAGGAAGAACATGTTTTGGTAATTGTCACGAAAGATACAGTTTTGTAAGCATGCACTATGGGAAACTGAATGTGATGGTGATTTACGAGCACCTTATCTTCCTGATAAAAACCAGTATGAAACATCTATATTCGGTCTGAGGCCAGTGGAATCTTCCTACTCCACATTTGCTACGGCTATATATGTATTTAAGTGAGTTTAAACAGGGGAGTGGCAAGGGGTGTTTCATAACCTTATAGGCGATTACAGTTTATAGCCAAATTATCTCCTGAATTACATTAGCTGAAATCAATGTCTCCCACTAGATGAACAGACTGTTCCATAAAACCTTGACAGATAAAGCATTAATAAGTGTCAGAGCTGGCTTGGTCAATCGAATGATTTGCTGACGCTTCTTTTTACCACAAGCCTGCACTTTCAAGTTTAGTGCCAAAGGTTCACTATATATAGCTGAAGACAGCAGATAGATGTTCTTTTTTTTGCACAGAGTTCTAACTAGCTGCCTGTTTCATTCTCTTCTCCCTGGGGCAGCGTTTTCAGTCAGGAAATCCAAACTATGGTGAAGCTGCGGTTGCCCAATCCTGGCCTGGAGGACAGGATACCTTCCCATACAGAACTTGAGGTCCTTGAGAAAGAAGAGGCAGACTCCAGACCGAAATGGGACAACAAGGCTCAGTATATGCTGACGTGTGTAGGGTTTTGTGTGGGCTTAGGAAATGTGTGGCGGTTTCCGTATCTCTGTCAGAGCCACGGAGGAGGTATGTCTTTAATGTATCTTAACTAACTTTGGCTATAAATTAGGTTTAATCTCTCTTTTGGGAACCAAATGGTGGAATATGTTTAGAACTGTTAGGTTCCTCTAGGAACAGCCATGTTCACCTCTAGAAGACTGTCTAATGGAGAAAGTTATTTCACAGGTTATGAACATCCACTGAGGTCATGTTAGTGATGGAAGAAAAGGAAAGGACGGTTTTTATGTCAGGACACTTTACAGTCTTGCACTGTAATGTACACAACATATTTTCTCAAGCTAAAACTAAAGATACTTTACATACATACACAAATATAATCTATATTTTAAAATATTAGTAAGCTATTTGGGAGTATGATCCTGATCATGATCTCAAATGATCTTTTCATAAAAGTGTTTTTGTTTGTTTTGGACTGATCTGTGTATCGGCTATAGGGTCAGCGTGTATGTAATCTACGGTAGGAGCAACAGCATGAAAGGAGTTAATATTAAGTATTTAGAAGTCATTTAAAATCTGAATGTATGCTATTTACCATATAATTTACTGTGATTCCTCAGGGTTCAGGTTAGGACCAAATGACCATATTTAAAATTTTGTTTCACTGTTTTGCTGGGGTTTTTAAAGATGCTCTTGAGGTGAACCATTACTTAAATATTATTATAACATAAATTTCTCATTTTCTGACAGTCTTTTCTACCCACTACCTATTTGTTACCTGCATTTCACTCTAGGATGTGTGTAAAAAGTGTTTGCTCCTTTGTGATGTGGGATCTTGAAAGAAAATCTCTGGCTTAAGGAACAGTATTTCAAAGTAATTTTCATTAAATGCACACAGTGAGATGTGTAAAAATTGGTCCTCTGAGTTAGAGTAGGGATCAAGGAGGGCTCTGCGGGGAGTTGCTGGTGCATACTCAGGGAAGTTTAACAACAGATGACTCAGTTGCAAGAAGAGATGCTTTTAACTGGTGTTCAGAGTTTGCAGTGCAAACTGAAGGTCACTTGCAGCACAACCAACTCTTGTAACAAATAAGTTACCAGACAGACAAAAAAATCATAACCCCCTTTCCATGTGTGCCAATTTTAATTTGAAAAAGTGAATGTATATCTGCAAAATTCATGGGACTCATTGGCTTCTCAGGTCCTTCTACTTAGTCTTGGAAAGTGGACATGCCCTGTTTCCCAGGGTTGATTTATAGGCACTTTTGTTCTTTCCTATCTATTCTGAGCTGGCTGTTAGAATTGAATCCTGGAAAGAGAAGAAGCTAAGAAACAGAAAAAGTGGCATATGTAATTGAGAACTGCCATTTTATTTC